CGGGCCACGGGCTATGTATTTTTCAGCCCGCAGAAATGCGGGCCATTTTGGCCCGCACCGTTTGGAACGCGGGCCAGCACGGGTCGGAGCGGGCCGGGCCGGACCGGCCCGTTTGACAGTGCTAATAACCGCATTATCATGTAGTGTTATCGTCAATTCTATTTTATCATGGTTCCGATTTCGATACTTTGAGATGTGTCGGCCAAGATTAATAATTATCTTGCATAATGATAATACCAATAACAATAATTAAGAAAATTCGAAATAAAAATACCAGGAAATAAATGTTACTTACAAACCCCCACAATTATGGCAAAAACGTCAACAATCTTCAACAAGGAAAATACTAAAAAAATGAAGTTTAATATCAACAAATTCCAAAGCACAACAAGAAATGAAAATAATTCTACATATACAAAATTGTATTTTCCCCTTTTTTTCCCTTCAATTTTCTTTACCCAAATCAAAGCGCGAATCAATCACACAGTACGTCTGGCAAAGATTGGCGCACCGAACACGCCACAACCTGCGCCCATTGCTTCAATCTCGTCTTCACAGTCGCCGGGTCATCACCTTCATATACAATTTCAAATCACCAATACAAATCAGCTCCAATTCAATCTTCATATAATTCTGACTCAAACACAAGCATAAATTTTCCCAAGCAATCCCATAGGACAAACTAAAAACTAACCGAAAAAACACAAATCTTACTTGGATCAATTATATAATCTGGACTCCCGACCGAGGACGATGCCGTATCCGCGTCGGAAAACGTGGCCGATGAGGATCTGGACAAGCTGTCGCAGTACCGCCGGTTCACGGCGCAGTAGAACTCGAGAGCCGGGAAGGTAGACGACAGCTTCGGATCCAAATCCGTCGAGTCGAAGTTGAACCCCAATTCGAAGCAGGCGCGGAGCTCGTCGAGGTCGTCGTCGGTGACGCTGCGGCCGCGGCGCCTGAGGTTGTTCTTCCGGCGATTCATCCAGGTCTCTTCGCGGATGATGTCCGGCGACCAGGAGTTTTGCTTGAACAGAGGCGGCGGCGCTCCTTCGTCGCGGCGGGGGCGGGGTTCCGATGCCGACATGGAGAATACGACAGCGTATAGGAAGGGGGAGGGGGGAATAATAATTAATTAGGTCAAGCGGGAATAGAGGGATATGAGAATATATATTATGAGGTTTATAATGTGGGCTGGGGCCGAGCTGGATTGGTGGTGGCGTGATTTAAAGTATTGCAAGGATTGTGGGACCGACAAGCGTGACGTGGCCGCCGGGTCTATCGTGCGCCGCCTTAATAATCTTTTGCTTGGGACCCAACTTAGTGTGGGAATATTCTCGACTCTTTGTTGTATCAAAAGTATTTTATTCTTTTGTTTATTTCAAAAGTGACCTCAAATAAATAATATATAGAGATTGATTAGTAAAACCAAATTAAGTAATATTTGGATTATATAGTTACGTAAGAACGCAATTTTGTATAATTTTTGCGTAGATGTCCTCAACTTATCAGTTTGTTTTATTATCGATTTTTACAAGATTTTCAAAATTTCATAAATCCCACTCCTAACTCTATGTCAAATTCTTGTTGGTAAAGAGTGTTTTGCGTAGATTTGGACTTTCATATAAAATATTTAGTCAATTTAGAATATGACTATATTTTAAAATTTATTAGAGAAAATTACTCCACCCACCATCAAAATCAACTTTATTTGCATATACATTAATATTATTTTTTACATGCAAGTGTACCAACTCGATAATTTTTATTTGCACGTAAACAATTATACCACCCCCAGCAGGAGGAACACCAAAATCGCCCCCCCCCCCCACACCACCAGTACCCCGAACCCAGCAAAATCAGCAGCCAAGTTCGGCAACATCCCCTCCCCTCCTCTCCTCCCCCTCTGACCACAGACTAGAGAACATGGGAAAATGGAGCGAGAGTGTCGCCTCAACTGTTGGGATCTGTGAGGATCTCGTTATGTACAAGTCACGAATTCAATAGCGAACGTAAACTTATGCGCAGCGGATTTAAAGATTTGACGTAGAAAACTTACAGCTTAAAATTATCTGAATTTGACGGATTCGGGATGATCGGGAACAACACGTCAGAATCAAGCTAACGATGGCGGGAAAAAGGCGTCGAGCTCGGGACTTCGGACGAGCTGCACGGAGGGGTTCGCCGGGCGGATCGTCGCGGCTGACAGCTGGTCGAGGCGGTCCACGGTCGGCGTTGTGGCGATCGTTGGCTGGCGTGGCTCGTCGGCGGCGGTCTGGCGGGTCATGGTGGTCGCCGATCGGCTTCTCCGGGGTTGGTGAATATATGTCTCGGTTACCTCAGAATCTTCTATTGTATTACTCGTACACCTCTTCAACTTGTACCGGTGGAATAACAAGAAGAAGATAAAACTCGAACAAAAAAATGAGAGAGAGAGAGAGAGAGAGAGAGAGAGAGAGAGAGAGAGAGAGAGAGACGCGTGCGTGTATGTATTTGCACGAATGGAGAATTCTAATAATTTCTTCTCTTTTCCATGAGCTTAATGATGCATATATAGAGGTAGAGTAGGGATCCTTAAGAGAATAGGAATAGAACTTCTTAAATAATGGACTAACTGTGGGCCAAGCCCACTCTTCCAAATTACTTAAATAATATTACGGTCCACTAACGTAATATTATTGCACTCCCTTTTAAATTACATTTGAGACTCCAATAATAATTATTCGAATTACTTCCCCATGTTTAAGATATAATGTTCATTAATTAATATGATTATTGATAATAAAAAATTAATTAATATATTATATTATCAAAGTTAGCGCTCGTTCATTACATTATTATTATGTCAGAATTTAATTCACCTGCAGAGTTTAGCATAACAATTCTTCATTAACTCACTTCGGGGCCATCATCAAACTAACGCACATGGTGATCGTAAATATCCTAACAACGCATCATACATACAACAATATTACCCAAGACATTAAGACTATTGATCCAGCAAATTGAATCACACCCAAGTGAATCAAAATAATAAGTACTGTAGGTATATGTATGTTTAATAACTTACGGGTTAAGAGACCGCATAATTAACCGACGCCTAGTTCGTTTACGATGATCAGTATAAAACAAACTTCTTCTCTCTGGGATCCGTTCAGTCAAGATAAATTGTATCGTTGACACTACAACCGTTCTGATGAGGTGTTCATTTCCATCTAGGTTGTGAACCAATAATCTTGCTTCGCAAGTGACTGATAAAATGACCTTCTGTCCATCCGTGATGGACCATCTTATCTAAGTGCAAAACAATAGAACATAAAACTTGTTTAATCGAACATGATTCTCATTCATAAGGGCAGAAGTGTAGTATCATCTATAGTCAAACGTTCAGTATATAATTAACACCAACATCAACCCCGACCGCTCTTTCTTTGACTCTGTGAGCCGCCCAACCCACGCCTAATCCCCTATACCACACCCTACCCAGAGCCACATCAACTCCAAGGAGGCCGACGACTAGAGATCATGAACCGACACCTGATTGAATCAACAAAAACTAGTCGCGAAAGGTCGTCTACAACCATCGACGCTAACTAACATGAAGAGGTGCACATTGGGATGAAGGTCGTTCGGCTAAGGGCCGATCGCCGGCAAAGGCGCTGCTACCGCTGAGGAAGGCAATTGGACGAAGAAGATGACCTCGACGACGGGCGAAAGAAATGAGAGAAGGAGAGAAAAATTATGGCAACTATGGGTTAAATGACTTATTTTTTTATTACATAGTAGAACTTGACTTGATTGAAAACTTGGTGGTAGTTAGACATTCTTGTTTGATCTTCGTTGAAATGGATTTGAACTTCAATAATGTTGATTCCACAATTAAATTTTGTATCTTCTTTTTTTTTTTTTTTTTTTTT